GATATTAATCCTTATCAGACATATGATTTGAAAATATTTTCTCCCATTCTGTGGACTGCCTTTTCACTTTATTTATAGTGCCTTTGATGCACAAGAGTTTTGCTTTTTGATGAAAGCCAACTTACCTACTTTTTCCTTTGATGTCTATGCTTTGGATGTCATATCTAAGAATTGCCAAATCCTACGTCATGAACATTTTCCACTATGTTTTCTTCTAAGAGTTTTATAGTTTTAGCTCATATGTTTAGATCCTTGATCTATTTCGAGTTAATTTTTGTATATGATGTAAACTAGGGGTCCAACTTCATTGTTTTGGATGAAGATATCCAGTTTTCACTGAACCATTTGTTGAAAAGACTGTCTTTTCCCCACTAAATGGTCTTGGCACCTTTGTCAGAAATCATTGGACCATGGGGCCAGCCCTGGTGTCCTAGTGGTTAAGTTCAGTGCATTCTGCTTGATGGGCCCAGGCCCGGTTCCTGGGCATAGACCTACACCACTCATCTGCCAGTGGCCATGCTGTGGCGGAGAATGTGGCAGTTGATGTTAGCTCAGGGTGAATCTTCCTCGGGGAAAAAAAAATCATTGGACCATATATGCAGGGGTTTATTCCTGGGCTTTCTATTTTATTACATTGGTGTCTATGCCAATCTTTATGTCAGAACCCTACTGTTTTGATTACCGTAGCTTTGCAGTAAGGTTTGAAATCAGGAAGTGTGAGCTCTCCAACTTTGCTTCTTTTTCAAGATTGTTTGGTCTATTCTGGGTCCCTTGAGATTCCATATGAATCTTAGGATGGGTTTTTTTCTATTTCTACAAAAAATATATTTGGAGTTTTGATAAAAAACACTGAATGTGTAGATCAGTTTGGGTAGTATTGCCATCTTAACGATATTAAGTCTTCCAGCCCATGCACATGGACTGTCTTTACATTTACATCTTCTGTAATTTCTTTCAGCAATGTTTTATAGTTTTTAGTGTACAAGTCTTTTGCCCCCTTGGTTCAATTTATTCCTAAGTATTTTATTCTTTCTGATGATTTTGTAAATGGAATTGGTTTCTTAATTTCCTTTGTTTATTATCCATTGTTTATCCATCGTTCATGTATAGAAACACAACTGATTTTTGTGTGTTGGTTTCGTATCCTGAAACTTGGTGAATCTGGTTGTCAATTCTAACCATTTTTGGGGGGAATCTTTCAGAGCGTCTGCTTTTTAACTATCTTCATATATTGCACCTTCAAGAAAGATTACTTTCACTTGAGTATACTGCAGCTCCCACTCATCCAAAAACTAGTTTAGAAATATCCACCTAGATGATCTATCTCTACTTATATTTCCAACATTCCATTTGTAAAATTCCCACCTGGCAAGACATTTCCTCTGTTTACTTTCTTCAGTTAAAAAAAAAAAGATTGTGTCCCCCTGCACTTTTTCAGTGGCTTAGTGGCAGTCTCAGTTGGCACTCTTTCTCTTAGATCACTGTCATCCGGCTGGAACACGAAGCTGCCCACCACACTGGCCAATGTGTGATAAATTTTAAACAACTTAAATGTCTATCAACAGAGGCCTGGCTGAATAAACTACGGTGAATCCATTCTACAGACTACACTGCAGACATTGAAAACAATGTGATGGATTTCTGTGTGCTAATGTGCTAAGATGGCCATATATTAATGAATGAGAAAGTAAGTTTGGAAGACAATGTATATAAAATAATACCATTTTTATTATACTGGAAAATATTTTTATGTTGAAATATCTGGAAGGATACACAAGATATAACAAGGATCCCTCTAGAGAGTAGAATTGGAGGGGATGGGTTTCAGCTTGTGCTTTTTACTCTATGTCCCCTATACATTTGATATTTTTCATGAGCTATGAAGTTTTATATCATGCTAAACATAGCCCATGAATATATATTCAGTGTAACCCAGAAAATATAGCCGGCTAAATGTTAGAGCCTTTGATGTTTTTCTCCCTAACTCATATAGCCTTAAGTTGTTAAAATCTCATTAACTGAGATATTTGTTTCACTGGGGTGCAGAGGATTCAGAAAGTGATTGTGAAAAGCAGACTGTGCCCATAGAGAAACAAATACATGAAGTTTTGAAACTAGGATGAGTTTAAGTCTCAAGTCAAATAGGGAACTTTGAGCCAATATGGAAGGAAAGACAGCACAGACCTACCTCTAAGGTAAACACAAACACACACATATTCAGAACAGGCATTTAATATAGACACGGACTGGGGCACAAAATCTCTCCACTTTACACCTAGTGAAAAATAAAATGGAAGCCCCATGGTCTTATATGACCTCACCTTGGCATTCACAAAGTATTGCTTCTGCTGTACTCTGAGATTCTGTTCATTTTTCTTCATTCTTTCTCCTTTCTGTACCTCAGACTGGATAGTCTCATTTAGTCTATCTTCACACATGCTGATTCTTTCTTTAGCTTGTAAAAGTCTGAATCTGAGATTCTCTAAGGGCTTTTCATTTCAGGTATTATATTGTTCAACTTCAGGATTTTCACTTGGTTCTTTTTTATAATTTCTATGTTTTTATTAATATTCTCTGTTCGGTGAGGCATTGTTGTCATACTTCCCTTTCATTCTTTAACATGTTTCCCTTTATACCTTGGAACGTATTTAATATAGCTGATTGGATGTCTTCGTCTAGTAATCCAACATCTGGGCCTTGACAGGGACAGTTTCCATCAACTACTTTTGATCCCCTCTGTGTTGGTTATACATTTCTGCTTCCTTGTGTGTCTCGACTATTTTGTTTAAATAACTATACATTTTAAAGACTATAATGTGGCATCTCCGGAAGTCATATTTCCCCCTTCTTCCAGGTTTATTGTTGTTGCTGGGGTTTGTTTGTTCATTTGTTTTTGAGTTTTTGTTGTTGCTGTTTGCTTACTGACTTTCCTGAATTAGTTATCTACTGTTTATATTCTTTGTCGCGTGTGGTCACTGAAGTTTCTGCTCAGTTACCTTTGTGGTGAATCAATGATTGGAACTAGATTTCATTAAAAGTCTTGAACCAATAAATCTCCCAACTTTTGCTAAGGGGTTTTGTGTTCCTTCAATGCACATGCAGTTTACAAGTCTGCCTTATCCTTCAGTTCCTGTTTGTGACAGAGCCTCAAGATCAGCCAGAGGCAAAAGCATCAGCCTTCTTAGGTGTATCCATCACCTCAGGCAGCCATAAAATGATTCCATTGCCAGTAATTTTTTTTCTTGACAAATGCCCCCAGGAAATGCTTTTCACCCTGGGTAAACTCTAAGTCAGGACAAATAAAGTCAGGTTTGCAAATGGGGTCTTCCAGGGAATATCCAGCCTCATCAAATAATGATGCCATGGATACTAGACTCTTGTTAGATATGGGATTTGCAAATATATTCTCTCATTCTGTGGGTTGCTCTTTCACTTTCTTTTCTTTTCTTTTTTTTTGATGAGGAAGATTGGCCCTGAGCTAACATCTGTTGCCAATCTTCCTCTTTTTTTTTTTTTCCTCCCCAAAGCCCCAGTACACAGTTGTATATCCTGGTTGTATGCCCTTCTAGTTCTTCTATGTGGGACACCACCTCAGCATGGCTTGACAAGCAGTGCTAAGTCTGCACCGGAGATCCAAACCAGTGAACTCCAGGCCACCGAAGTGGAGTGTGTAAACTTAACCACTAGGCCACTTGGCCAGCCCCAACTCTTTCAATTTCTTCATCATTCCCTTTATTCATTCATGTTTACCTCAAATATGTATTGAGTGCCTCCTATGCGTCCCTCACATTGCCAGTTGTACATTCAATGAGTGGGACAGTGAACATGTTAGGCAAGATCCCTGCTCCAAGGAGCTTAACACATAGGGTAGGGGAAGGGGTTCACACACTACACATAAGGAAACAATAATTTCCAATCACAACAAGAGCTATAAAAGAAATAAGCCATTCAACCCAAATATGAGCACCATTAGCCTCCTAATTTATAAGTGGGTTAGAGATTTGAACTAGAGTATCGGTTTCCAAAGCATGCCCCTTAGACCCCTAGAGAATGGATTCTTAAACTTTGGAGTATTAGCGTTCCTTGTTAAAATAGAATGAAAATTATAGGCCATAGGGATAGTGAGTTTGCTTATTAAAAAGCACATATACCAATAACTTCCTATCTCTCTCTTCTCAGGGTTCATGGATTACTCAAAGTCTATCTGGAGGAAGCTAGTAGTGGTGGCTCTAGGCTTAGTCCACCCGTCAGCCAGAGCAGCTCCTATTGTCGACTGTTTTTACATATTGAACCTTCAAGAAAGATTTTATTTGATCCAAGTGTGTTGCAGGTCCCACTCCTCCAGAAAATAGTTCATAAATACCCAGCTAGATGATCTGTGTTATCAGTTTCAACAAAACATCTGTAAAAATCCTGCCCTTCAAGATGCTTTTTCCCTGTTTACTTTATTCAATGAAGAAGCTAGACTGTGTTCACCTTCTTTTCTTTTATCCCTGTCATCCTCCTGGAATAGTCACCTGCCCGCCATTCTTGTCAATGAGTCATAAATTGGGATCAACTTCAGCGTCTCTCAGCAGGGGGCTGTCTGAACAAATTGTGGCAAGTTCATTCCATGGACTGCACTACAGCCACTGAAAATGAGGTGGCTGGCTTCTGTGTGCTAACGTGCAATGATGCCCATATGTATTCTTCAAGGAGGAAATCAAGTTTGCAGTGCAACGTATATGATACGAAACCATTTTTGCAATACCTGAAAATATTTTGATGGTGAAATATTGAGAAGGATACACAGAAATATCATGGCTGCCTCTAGAGTTTAGACCTGGGGAGAGGAGAGTTTCTGCTTTTCGCTCCACATCTTCTCTCTATTTTGATATTTTTCTATGAGCATTTAGATGTTTTATGTCACAAAAGAAAGCTAGACCAATACTCTATTCACAGTGTAAATAATATGGTAAAACAGAAACTCTAGCCAGCTAAATATTAGAGGAGGCCTTTGGTGTTTTTGTTCGTAACCTATACATCGTCAAAGTGTAAAAATCTCAGTAACTGAGATGTTTGTTTCACTGGGGTGCGCAGGATTTAGAAAGTGATTTGTAAAAGCAGATTGTGCCCATAGAGAAACAAATAAGTGAAAACTGATAGTTTGAAAACTAGGATGAGTTGAATTTTACAAGTCAAACAAGGAACCTTGAAAAAATATGGACGTAAACACAACAGGGACCAACCTCCAAAGGAAACACCAACACACACATACACAAAGCAGGCATCAGGTTAACATAGACACAGACCCTTTCACTGGGGCACAGAATCTCTCCCCTTTTCCCCTAGTGACAAAATGGAAGCCACATGGTCTTATAGGACCTCACCTCGGAATTCATACAGCATCACTTTTGCTGTACTCAACTAGCAGCCGGCTCAAGCCTGCTAAGTCTTGAGGTCAGGGGACATATACCTCACATCTTGATGTTAAATGTATGAGTTTCCTATTGCTGTTGTAACGAATGACCACAAATTTAGCAGCTTAAAACAACACAAATTTATTATAATACAATTCTGAAAGACAGAGGTCTAAAGTCAAGATGCCTGCTGGGCCAAGTTCTTGTTGGAGACTGGAGGGAGAAACTATTTCTTTGCCATTTTCAGCTTCCCTGAATTGTGTGGTTCATGGCCCCTTCCTGGCATTACTCCAACCTCTTGCATCTGTCGTCATATCTCCTACTACTCACTCTGATCCTCCCACCTCACTGTTATAAGGTCTGTTATGATTATATTGGACCAACCTGGATAATCCAGCAAAATCTTGCCATATGAAGATCCTTAACACATACAAAGTCCCTTTTGTGATGTAATATACCATATTAACAGGTTCTGGAGATTAGGGCTTGGAAATCTTTGTGGAGGGCATGTTTTTCTACCTGCCATAGGTCCATAGGAAGGCATCTGCAGCAGTGTTTTAAAAGTGCTACAACAAATAAACCAAGATGTGGAGGCTTGTCAAGATCATCTATTTCGTACACATTTGAAAGACCTCTCAAGCTAATATTACCAGCTCTCAGCTTGAAAGGGGAAGACTTGTAATGAGAATCATAGACTTCCTTCACTCTTTCTTCTTACCTTGGTGTGTTGGGAGGACTCTTTTGCATGCGAAGGATACCCTGAGAGTTATATCTTAAGAGAAGGAACTCCAGCCCATCCAGGGTGAACTGAGGTGTCTCAGGAGATGTGGCAGTGGAGGTATTCCCCCCCACCACCACAGACTAAGATGAGCGGCCTCCTGTCCTTCACTGCTTGCCTTCTACACTCTCTTCTTTTTAGGAAGGGAGCCTCGTTGGAAGAGATGGCTAAGGAACAATTACTATAAAATGCAATGCCAATTAGACCAAAAAGGCCTCTCTCAGGACCAACTGGTATGGTCTGACCTTCTTGAAAGGGCCTCCAATTTAGTTTTTTGACATCATCTCCAGTAATTCATACATTCCTATTCTTATGTTGGGTATTAAAGACACTAATGAAAGATAAATCTTTTAAATATATCAATATGTTTGTAATAGTTTATTATTCAAGATCCTTAACACCTTAACAGTGTGGACCTGGCCTGTGCTAGACCTCTGAGAAGTCCTGTCTGACAACAAAAACTGGATTGGAATCCAACTCCCCAATCCCAGTTGTTACCATCTGAGAATTGGAGCTGAGTAAACTCAGCATATACGCTAAAGACAAGCTGAGAGATGAGCTCTTAATCCATTCCATTCCACATGTGTCACAGAAGACTACAGGGCAGGAAGTAGAGAACTGAGCCTCAGGCTTAAAGATGAGCTTTGGTTATTTATGTGATTACTTAACTCATATCACAAGGTTGGAAATGAGAGAGGGCTTCAAGAGGAAAGATCATACAGTTTCCTGGGGGTGACCAAGACTGTTTCTCTTCAGAATGTCGTGGTAACTGCAGGTGCAAGTGAGAAAAGTGTAATTTGCACCTCCCCCACCTGATGGCGAGCCACTTGGGGGCTGATTCACCCGTACAGTACCTTGATTTTGGCCTAGACAACCTCCTCAGCATGCTGTGAAACAAGCCCTGCTGATTCAAGAGGGCCTGTTCCAGAAACCTCAAAGTGCCCATTGCAACTTCTCTCTGTTTTCAGGAGTACAGACCACTACGGAATCTCAAGGGAGAGCTTTCTCAGCTGGGTGTGGGGAGACTAGGTCTCGCCTAGGCGCTTCGGCTTCCTGCTTTCACTGCCAGCCTTGACAGCGGGGCACCTACCCACAATTGCTGTATAACATCCATAAGATGAGTCCAAAAAACCTCTTAAGAAGGGAATGGGGAGTACACGGATGCAGGCATTCAGAATGGGGAGCAAGTCAACCTACTCTGTGTCACTGCCACTTCAGGAGCACCAGGGATACTTCCAATGCCACAAAAGTCATTGAGTCCCCAGACTACCAGAGACATTTGTGCACCTTACAAATGGAACCTTTATTCTCTATGGTCTTAGGACATAAGTCTTCAAGGAAAATTAAATGAACTTCAGAGCAGAAATAGAATGAACCTCATTTATTAATGAAAATGAATTATAACCAAAAAATGACAGGAAAATGTCAAAATTGTCCAACTGTGGGGCAGAGAAAAAATAAAATGAAAACTTCAATAACAAACCATTGCAAAATCATAAATAAGAACATTGTATAAGATTCATGGAATGTGACCAAAGCTAGACAAAGTTCAAAGTCTTCAATGCTTTCATCGTTTCAAAGAACAAAGAAAGAAAATACCATATTTAATGGAAGTTCACTCTGGGTAGGGCCTCCATGTTAATATGTTCCATTCACTCTTGCTTGTCCTTGTGTGGTGGGTATTGTTCTCTGCCCTTCATAGTACTTTATGAGTTGGACATCTTTCCTTGCCCCTATCTTTTTGAAATGCACCAGATTTCAAAAATGGACTGTGTTAAACACTCAAATGATGTATAAGCATAGGAATGGCTGCACAGGAGACAGTGATTCTGACACGTGGTGTAAGCGGGGGTCAAGGGAAGTGCTCCTTGTCCCCATTGGGGCAGCATCTGCATGGTGCTCCAACAACTAGTCAGTGGGAACGAAACAGGAAGAGCACACCCATTTCCTTGGGAATACAGTATCGCATAGATACAGGTCATCTGGGCACAACCCTGTTGACTGGGATACTGACCCGAGATCTGAAGGGAATGCCAGCATTTATATGCTTCTTACTTACACCTGTGCTGCAGTCGGCTTGGGACAAAGACATTTCCATCGTAATGATTAAGTAAGGCTCGCCGAGACAGAAAAAAAATGAAATCCAGAATGATGGCAAGAGTCAGTGAATACTCTAGAATTTACTGGCCTTGGAAGATGGGTTTTAAACCAGTAAAACATACAGCTGTTGTAATGAATGAACTCAAACAAAATGTTCTTCCCAGACAGCCCAGTGTAGGCAGAGGCTTTTGGGAATTCGTGTTGATTTGTGTCGGAGCTGATTCCCTCAACAAACTCTCAGAGAGCTCTTCTCTGAAGTGAGCGGCTTGGTGCATCCGAAGGCCGGCATCCTTTATGAAGCTTGGAGGACAATGACTACGCTTCTACGGCCTCTGCTCTGCATGGATTCTTAAATGAAAAGCAAGGCTTGATCTCTGCCTATAGCTTTTCCCACAATACTCGCATATAAACGGCCTCTCTTCAGTGTGTGTTCTCTGGTGCAAAGTAAGATCTGTCTGTCGACTAAAACTCTTCCCACAACTGTGACACCTGTGGGGTTTTCCACCTGTGTGTGCTTTCAGGTGTCTTATAAAACTTGTTCGATTACAAAAACTCTTCCTACACTCCGCGCAGCGGTATGTTTCTTGCTGAGAATAGGCTTTCTGGTGCAATTTAAGGTGTGAGCCCTGGGTGAATCGCTTGTTACACACGGGACATTCATAGGGTGTCTCCCCCGTGTGGATTCGCTGATGCCTGGAGAGGTCTGACCTACGAAGGAATCCTTTGCCACATTCGAGGCACTTGTGAGGGAGCTCTCCCAAATGAATTTTCAGGTGCCCATTAAGGAGCTTCTTGTTAGCAAAACGTTTCCCACAGTGCGCGCATCGGTGTGGTTTCTCTCCGGGACGGTTTGACTCCTGGGCTCTGGGGCTGAGAGGGTCTCCCTGGTTGGCGCTCTCAGCTGTCCCTCCTAGAGCAGGCTTCTGCTCAGGGACAGGCAGTGTGCAGTCTCTGGGTAGATGCTCTGCAGGGTTTCCCAAGTGATTTTCTAGCTGTTCAGAGTATTCGGGTAAACTGGGACCAAGCAGTGCATTTCCATCTAAAGAAACAGAAAATGGACACACACTCTCCAGCTGTTTCTGCTTGACATATTTTCTCTCCCAACAGCAAACTTGAGAGAAGGACCAGAAATTGCAGATGTCACTGAATGGAGACAAAAGGGACTAAAAAGAGCTAAACTCAACAGCTAGCCGGAAGACAGAAACTCCCAAGGGGCATCCGAAACCTCTTTACCCTGGGATCGAGGTGAATTTTTCTTTTCTTTCTTCCCGAGCATCCGCTGAACTCTCACCTACCTATCTCGGGGTCAAGTAATTGTTGCTTCACTTCCTTGGGATCCTGTATTGTCTTCACCCATGGCTCTTGTCCCTGCTCTTCTGGGGACCTCTGCTCAGCCTTTGATCGTGGGTGTTCTGGCCATAGGAGAGATGGGGGGAAGGACAGTTTGAGTCATCACAGGTTTCCTTCTCGAGTCCAGGCGGCATTTTTTTTTATTTTTTGAGGAAGATTGGCCCTGAGCTAACATCCATGCCCACACTCCTCTATTTAATATGTGGGATGTCTGCCACAGTGTGGCTTGACAAGTGGTGTAGGTCCGCGTCCGTGCCCGGGATCCGAACCAGCGAAGCCCAGGTGGCCGAAGCAGAGTGCGCGAACTTAACCACTATGCCACTCAGAAGGCCCCCCAGGTGACTTTTCTGGACACATGGCCTCTCTGTACCTACCTACTTCCTTCTCGGTTAGGACTGCCTCACCAGGAGCCTCTGACAAGTGGTTTGTTTTGGTTTGTTTTGGTTTGGTTTTCAGGATCAGAACAAAACCAAATGAGGGCGGGGGAGGATCCCAGTGTGCTCAGTTCAAAGCTATTCTCTTCCGATCTATGGAAGGAGAGTGCATCGATTCTGGGGTGAAGTCGATGCCCTGAAGGAGTTCCACATCGGTCTTGAGAATGGAATTATTTAGGTGAGAGCCAGAACATGAAGTCGATCTTCCTAAAGTGCCGGCACATGAAAACTGAGAAACACCCTCTTACTGACCACCAGGTGAAGAAAGAGAGAGGCCCGGGGGAAATAGGAAACTGCTTACTGGAATAATTTCACTTGGACATATTCAAATTAGAATGGTAACGGAATTAGGTTGGCAACAAGCAAAAATAACTTGAGAAAAAACAAACTCTAGATGTCTGTTTCAGCTGAAGGCTGGAAGTGGATTCTCTCAAAATTAACCCAACCAGCCATCCAGCAGTGCTTCTCAAGGCCAGTCTAAGGACAACCAGGAGAAGTTTCCACACTCCCTGTCGCCCTGTGTCCTACCACCCCTCTCCTCAGTAAGACCCCGTGTAATTTACATCCTCTTTCCCTGTCCCTTCCTCAGCTCTGGCCAAGTTGATGGGTCTGCCGGAAAACGTGGGTTGGAAGTGGCTCATTTGAGATAGAAATGCAGGATGATGTTTAAATATTAGCATTAAGTAACATGACATTAGCAAGTTAGTTTGGCTAATGTTAATTCGAAGGAAAATTTACATTTCAGAAAATTATATCAAGGCACAGGAAATTGACTAAAATACCTTATTTCTTATTTTGATGGATAAACGGCCATATATTTTCAGACAAACAGAATTTAGAATAAAAAGCTGTTTAAATTCCCATTTTGTTTATGCTTGGGTTTCAAAGCTAAGGTTGGGATGAGAGGGTAATGAGACCAAAGTCAAATAAACTGGAGGTCCTGGATCCAAGGAAAGCTGTTATCAAGTTCAAGTGGAGCCAACCGAAGGGTGAGGGATGGGGAGTGGCACAGCCTTAGGGAGGAAGAATCCAGAAGGCCCAGGACAACCCCACAAGAGAGACAAGGAAAACAGTCCAGAACGGCAGGAAGTGTTCATATGGCGGTTCCCATCCTGTATGTAGATTGTAGACTGGAAACTCTGAAGGCTGCAGATTTCCTTGGGGTCACTCTGAAACCACCCCAGACACCTGCTCCTTGGGGGGAAGAGAGCTAAAGACATGAGTAGTCAAGGACTGAGAGCGGCCCGGGAGGCAGAATCAGTCACCCACAAGAACGAAGGCCAGGAGTATCGTTACTAGGCAGCTGTGTCTCGTGGACTTGCCATCAGTCCAGCTGCTCCTTTCTGTGCAGCACCAAATCAAAGGCCTGACAACTTCCACCTCAGTTCCCCAGCCTGGCATAGTGCCCCTTGGTGCCCGCTTTCAAAGAGTCTGGCCCAAACTTGAGCTTCCTCCTGGATGTTAACGTCACACACTTCCCATCTACCACCCCCACCCACCCCGTTGTCCTGTGTAACGCTCAGATCCTTGTGCCTCAGTGCACTTGGCCTCTGCTCCTGGACTCTCAAAGCCCTGCTCCTAGCACTATGACCAGTTGGCATTCCCCAACCTATGCTCACGGCCCATGTCAGCTAAGGCCTCTAACCATTCCCCTTTGCCCCATCTCCCACCCTCCTGACCTCACTTCCCATCTCTACTCTTACACATTCCAGAAAACAGCTTCATCAATGCTGAATGAACTTGACGCTTATGAAAAAGGTCTTCCCAGATAGCAGCCCTCCTTCTGTCTGCCAACATGGGGAAAACAGCCATGGCGCTCATCACAAGTCAAAGCGTAAGCCATTTAAGGTACCCAGGGTGAGTGAAGGGGAGAAGAAACGATCACTTTCATAAGCTGTGGTGGGAAGGTAAACTGGTACAATAATTTTGGAGGACAGTGGACCATAGCTATTAAAGTTTTTAATGCACAAGCCCACTAACCAATCATTCCTGTTCTAGAAACGTGTCCTGCTCACGCATGCTCATAGAAGGATGCTCGCTGTGTGTTTTATAGCTTGGCTCCAGGGTTTTGGTCAATGCTGAATGGCAGCCAGAAGTCATGCCTCTAGGCCTGCCTCTGTTGGCAGGACTCTTCTCTGTACCCTCAACAACAGCCAGTCTGTTGCCACAGCAACCACCAGAGAGGTTGTTCTAGAAATGAGCCTAAGCGTATGAACAAGCCCTCTTTGTTTTGGCCCGTAGGTTGTTCATTTCTTCATTGCAGGCGAGACTTCCTAGCTCAGAAGCCAGCCAGTGCCAAACTCAATTTTCACACATCCCATTATTTAAAAGCTAGCCCCCAGAAGCAGCTTTTTATCCATTTAGAGCCCACCTGCTTTGCAAATCCCAGAAAACTGCACCCCACACCTGCTAGCCATTGAAAAGATGGAGCCTTGTGGTTATATGTCCCCCAACCACTGCTGCCCTTTGGAATTCTCTAACCCATAGCCTCCCTGGCATGCTACTGGGCTGCGACACCACCTAGACAGGTAAAGCCCTCTGAGCCTTCACTCCCTGGGGAGTCCCCTACAAGCAAACCTGACAACGAGTTGCCCAACAAAGCTTGTGCGTGCTACTGCCACCTCCTGGTCATATCTTTTCCCTTGATCAGCCCCCAGATCCCTCAGACCCTCTACAAGTGGTAAGGAGGATGGGGTTTTGGTGACCAGGCGGTAGGTATGGGACCGCCCAGTCAGTAGGACAAAGCATATTATATCACTTTAAACAGTGATCAGAAAGGGGCAGTTTCCTCTCGTCCTAATTGGAATATTTTGCTAGTTTAATTCATTCTCTCTCTCCCTCGTTAAATCCGCTGGACTTTCCTGTGCTTTACAGAGTAAAGTATTACGATCAAGAGCAACAGTGCTGCTCAGCATCGCATGTAATCTTTGTACCTGCCCCTGCTGCCAAGTGGAGCAGAGGAAAACAGGGAATGGGAATGCATATGCAGAAGATTTAGAATTAATATGACTGGCTCGGTTCTGCCACTTGTTGCAGGCATACACAGAAAAATACAGATTCTAAAAAACTTGTTAACACTCAGAGATGCAGGTGTGGTAAAGATTGGTTTATAAATGACATTATTGTATATAGTTCCGCTTTGACCCATGTAGATACACCATGTGTACTTGTGGGTTTTCCCTCTTTGTCACCTCTATTAAACACGAGACAGAGTTCATGTCTTTTACACGCCCAGCACTTGCCAGAGTAAGCTACAGAATATGGTACCTGGACAAATTGATTAAATGCAGAGAGGGGGACAAATTCATCGCCAAACACTGACACTAGACCATTATGAGTTGAATTCTATGGGGTGGTGGCATTGCATAGATAACATATGGTCCTACTGTTGGTCTGGAAGGGACCAAGCCATTCTCTCCAAGAAGTGAAGTCTCACCTGTGCTGTTCCCCAAAGTCGGCCAGATGCCTAGAAAAGAGATGGCGCTCAGAATGGAAACCAGCAGAAATGAAAAAAAAAAAAAAGCCATAGGTAAGCACCAGACCTAGAATATCTATTGGCTTCAAGATCAAACGTATCAAAGTGTCTAGGGTATCCATTCTCATCTGGCTACAGAGAACACTGGAATGCAAGGAACCCAGGCAAGGTACCTGAAAGATTGAAAATCTTTGAATTCACATAGAATGATCTTTTCTGACATGATATCCCCCAGGGTCTGCCCAGAGGACCTTGTGCTTTCCCATTCTATACAATCCCAGAAAGACCTTGACCACCCTCAAGACCTCCATGACCTTCTCTAAGCCCCTGACTTGCACATCTCCATTTCAAACCTTGATCTCTCCTGAGCTCCGATTCCACACTGGCCATTTCCACCTGAAGACTCATAAGCATCTCAAATTCCTCATGTTCAAATCCAGACTCACTTTGACCTACCAAGTCGGATCCTCTTTTTGTGTCATCTCTGTCAGTGAAAGATATTGCCATCTATGCGGCTCTAATGGCCAGAAACCTGGATGCCATTTTTATCACTTTCTTCTTCATCACCCAATGCCCAATCCATCACCAAGTCTTATATTTTACACAGGCAAATACCTTTTGAATAGGTCCCTTTTTCTCACTCTATTGTCACCAAACTACCCTTGTTTAGAAAATCATCCTTCCTCACCTGCTGACTGCACAACCTCCCAAATGGTGCCCCTGCTTCCAGTCCTACCCATTCCTATTGTAGTCAGAGTGGCTAGGTAAAATGCAGCTCGGTGTCTATCCCTCCCCTACTCAGGGACCTCCCGTGGACCCTGATAAGAAAGCATTAAGTGCTCAGCAAGGCTGACAAAGTTCTTCAGGACCCAGCCTCTGCTTCTTTCTCCAGGCTCTTTGGTGCCATTCTGGCTCCTCCGCTCCTCCTCTGCGCCCCTCCCACTGCAGCAGGAGCTCTTCATATATGCAGAGCTCTCTACCCCACTCAGCCTTGCGCAGGCTGTCCATTCCACCCAGAGCCCTCTCCCCTCCCCACTCCCAGCACTCAGCAGGCTTACTCCAATTCATCCTAGCGGTTCCAGTGCAGATCCCCCTTCCCCTCTCAGGACGTCCTCCCTCTCTTCCAAAAGCTGGTTAGGTGGCCCTCCTAGGGGCTCCCATAGCATCCTACTCCCTCCAACACGTCGTTTTACAGTCCTATTCACATCTCCTCTGGAGGACCTACAGTCCCATTTACAGATTGAACGGTCCACAGGAGTTGAAGGTCCAGGACGCCTGGGACTGATCTGCTGCCTTGCGTCCTGCCCAATCCCCAGGGTCTGGCGCAGTGCCTGGCTCTTAATAGGTGCTCATGTATATTGGTTGAATGAATGAATGTGAAGATGTGGAGAAGGACATGGTTGTTAAGCCCTGGCACTGAGCTAGTTACAGATCAACCAGGCATCTACAGCTTGTAACATGGATTGTTCTCTATATGTTATTTTTTATGTCTCTTTTGTTTTCTCAGTATTTCACAGTGTCTTGAAACTGCCAACATGTCGAAGCTATGGCTGGGGGAGTTAGAAGAAAGGATCTGGCCACCCTTGGGCCAAACTTCAGTATGTAGCTTGTTAAAAACGCACCCAGGTGATCCTGACATGGGCAGTCTGCTGACTACACCTGGAGAAACACTGTTCTAGGTTTGGATGAAAGGAGATAGGTATTTCCTTTATACTGTGGTAATTAAATCCTCTTAAAGGACCCTAAGTGAGGATATTAATAAACCATCAAGTTCGAATGTGGCTCTTATGCCATAAAAGCAACTAAGGCCCTTGGGACTCACAACATCACAGATCCCATTGATTAAATCTGCTGGCTGGGGAGATCAGCCCTTATCCAGAGTGTCCAAACCGCATAGTTTTCCTGTGTCACAGTCTTGGTCAGAAGTCTCCAGAGCAGGGTCATTAGCTTAGGGGGGGTTTTAATCCCGTTCTATCTAACGTGCCTTATTCCAGCCATTCCCAGAGAGACACTCCCTCCTCCTACTACTCTCTGTCGGACTGGTCTGTTTCCATCAGGGAATTGGTGTTTCTAACCCAACCCCAACCCTGGAGAGCTCTTGAGCTCTCAAAACAGAGAGCAGAGAGAGGAAAGAAAGCCCTTGCCTTACCAGGGTCCAGAAAGGGCTGGCACGCCCCAGCAGCACCAAAGCCCAGCTCCTGCGGCCCCACCTGTGGCATCCACGCCTCTGCCACTGGGGCCTCGGGGCCAGGTCCCAAGACTTGGAGGGGGGGTGACTCCAGGTGGATGTCTGGTGGCATGTGTTCCATCTCCACTGGTGCCAGTTCTTCCAACAGCATTTCCTGCCTGTCGATCTGGGGAAATGCCAGAACCGATCACTCTGGAGTCTAGACAGGACAGCACTGCCCAGCAGCAATATAATGTGAGCTACCCATGTCATTGTAAATTTTCCAGTGGCCATATAGAAAAAAAAGCAACAAGTGAAGTCAATCTTCATAATATGCATTGTTTAACCCAACATATCTAATATATCATAATTTCAGAATGTAATCGATTTAAACAATCATTAATGACATATTTCACACACTTTATTTTTCATTCGAAGTCTTCTGAACATGGCGTGCGTTTTATACTTACAGCATATCCAATTTGGATGGGCCACATTTCATTGCTCATGAGCCACACTTCGCTGGTGGCTACTGTGCTGGGCAGTGCAAGACTAGACCATACGGAGAGGAAATCTTATATCGTAAGCCAAACAAGAAGACAGAGAAAGGAAGGGAAACCACAAATTCTTTCCATCCGAGGGGGCAGGGACCTTTGGAAGAGTCCTGTTCAGGCAGGCTAATGGCAGAGCCCTACCAGCACACGAGACGGCAGAGTGCTTAATGCCCAACCTCCCTTCTCCCAAAGATCTGCCCTGGGCCCAGCCCCAAACAGGATTCACTCGGTGCTTCTGAACAGAGGACAGAGCCACTGTCCCCGTGGGGCGCTGTGGCTACAATGGCAGCCGGTGGCTATCAGAGTCTAGCGGGCAGACATGGGAGTCTACGTATTTCACAGCGCAGAGTTGTTCCAGGTCCCTACCAATTTTGGAATGTCCCCCTCAAACAGTCACGTGGGTAAAAGAACCTGTCAAGAACTTCACCCTGGCCGTCATATAAAAACAAAATAATTTTGCATAATTTAGCATGACTTGAATTTTCTAGGAAAGCACTACTTTGGAAATCAAAGAGAGACTATTTTACCTACTGTCCAGATTTACCAAGACTTGTTTGCCACTTGGGAAAATCCCATGACCAGCAGCCACACCGCTCAGAGTTTGGAGCTGCGACCGTCTGAACTTCGGGCCGTGGGCCTCACAGCGCGCGTGCGCATAGAGGGAGCATCTGACAGCTCGTGAGGTTCGCTGCTGCGGTCCAGCCCAAACACGTGCACGCTGAAATGCTTACTAGTTTATAATAAACCACCTGCCTTCTCTTTATATTCCTTCTAGACTCTACTTGACTCAGGGTTGGCAAACTTTTTTATAAGAGGAAGACAGAGAATTTTTAAGGCTTGGTGAGCCACCTTAGTCCTTTATTTTCCTTCTTCCTCTTTTCTTTAAACAACCCTCAATAGGCAAAAAAAAAAAAAAAAAAAAACATTACTAGCTCACGGGGTATAGAAAATTGGGCTGTGGCCAGATCTGGCTTTCAGACCCTGGAGGATAATGTCGGTGTTTTGATGGATGAATGTCGGCAGGCTCTGTTATCTTTGATTTCATGAAGTATATGTAAGGGGACATGACACAACATTTGTTAGAGAAGGGCGCTGAGTCTGAAAACGTTGAGAACCACTGACCCATATATGCTGATTCCAGCAGAAGAGAACAATGAAAAGGCTGTGGAGAAACCTTGGGGCTGAAGAATGACACAGACAAACACAGATCTAGGCCCAGCGGCCTCTGCTGTGTCTTTTGGTCTAACTACCAAGATCCCAAACTCTTTTCTTACCTGCTCCTCTTGTATCTCAGGTTCTGTCTGTAAGAATTCTACCAGTGCCAAAATGATTTCTTTATTTTGTAGGCCGAATGGCCTCACCCAGGTCTCTATCTCCATGGGCAGAATGGTTAGGAATTGCTCCAACACTAGCAGCTCCAGGATTTGCTCCTTCGAACGCATCTTTGGCTTCAGCCACTGACAGCAGAGCTCCCAGAGTTTGTTGAAAGCTTCGTAGGGCCCGGCTGCTTCTTTGTACTGGAACTGCCGGAAGCGCTGGCGGAAGACTTCACAGTCAGTATCATACTCTTGAAACACCGAGCCCTGATTCAGGGAGGCCTGGATGGCACACCCCAGGGCCACCGCCATCGCCCCTTCCAGCAGTGTACAACTTATCCCGAGCCTGAAGTCTCAGATTGCAACTGGTTTCTTTGTGTAATTGTGGGGCAGGGAGCCACCTACAGCAGAGGACAGGGCAAAAGGAGAGAGGAGAGGCAGCAGTGGTTACCAGAGGGCATACGTAGCTCTCTCAATTGCTCACTTTTCACCAAAGCCCTAAAGCTGCAGATTGTCAAGTTGGTTGTGGGTTTGAGAGTCTGACAAAAGCCGTGGACGCCCTTCCTGGAAAAACCAAAAGATTCAGAAAATGTCCAAGCCCATCCAGGGACCCTCCAGCACTGCGCTGTCCAATATGGTAGCCACTAGACCCACGTGGACCTGGTTAAAATAAAAATTCCGCTCCTACGCACGTTTCCAGCGCTCGACAGCCCGCAGGGCAGAGGGTTCTGTGGGCAGCTCTGCTCTAGAACTTACCGCCCCCCCCCCCCCCGACCCAGCAGGGCTGAGAAGCCCCGCCCCTAAGGAGGACCCAGCACGCTGGGCAGGCCCGCAGCCCCACGCCCAGTCTAAGCCGGGCTGGCCTGTGTTTCTGAATACAGGCAGGCGCAGAAGAAGCGGAGCAGCAACACTCATAACCCCGGTGAATAAGCCTGGACGTCCATCCAGCCTCGGGGAACCCTGAGTCTCCTTCACCCACGGCCCCTCAGCCAGAGCCACGCCTGGCAAAGGCGCAAATCCTCAACCCCTCCTTGTTCTCCCCTCGAGGTGTGCGCAGTTCAGCCGACATCACCGTGCCCCTCATCCTGCTGTAGCCTCCCAAGGGGCTTTCTCAGGAGAAAAATCCGCGGCAGCAGGGCGGGCCACCAGGAATGTGGTCTGCGTCAGTAACGAAGGACACTTCTCAGGTTCATCAGGCCGGGAGCAGGCGCTGCTCTAAGCCTCCTCGTCCACTAGTTCATGGAGCCCTCGCCCCGTGGTAGGAGGTGGGCACTAGCATCATGCCCGGAATACAGAGGAGGGCGCAGAGGGGTGAGGCTTAGGAGGACTGGCTCACTTGTCCCAGGTCACAGAGCAAATGCCAGAGGGACGTAGTGACGAGGCCAGACTCTATAGATTCCTGCCATGCCCATGTCTACAAACATCCAAGCATTCTTAGCACAATCTCTGAGGTCACAGAGGAGGTCACACACATGTCTCCACAAGTCTCCAGACCAGGACCTGTCTACGTGCTATGAGGCCTCTCTCCCTGTATTTGTCCACCCGGCTCATGTTCCTGTCCACTTTCCTGGGGGGAGGGGGGGGATCAAGAAAAAAATACTCAGGACGCTTCCCATTGAGTCATCCCAAATGGACACTGTCCCCCTACCACCCTTTCTCTTTATGGTAGCCAGGACTTCAGCGGCAGACGGATGGAGGTGTGATAACCTGCTAGCTGTGTGACCCTGACACCCAGGGCTTCTGTCCGTCACATGAGAATAATCATAGCATCTATTTCACAAAATTTCCTGTGGCGCAGCCCATCGTCTGCAGAGAGGACAGCAGTGTGCCTGGCACGGAGGAAGCGCTCAAGAAAGGTCATTGCTCCTGGGGACTCATTCCTAGGCAGCTTCTCTTCCCCCCTCCCAGGCAGCTGACCGTCGCTGGAGGGCAGCCAGGAACCGTGTGGCTTTTGCCTGTCACCCTCCCTTAACCCCTCCTGCCTCACAGCTGGGCAGCCCTCCGCCGACTGACCCCAACCTTCCACCACGTCTCCCGGGGAGTCGACCTGATCCTCCGGGTTTCCCTCCGTGGGCCCTTCCAGATGAAAACTCCACTCCACCCCGGGCTGGTGGCTTCTCCCCAAACCCTCCTGAATGAAGCCGCGCTCCCAGGGCCCATGGATAAGGAGCTGTGTGAAAAGAGGGCACTCGGGGAGAGGCAAGGGGGACGAGCCCCTGAAAGCTCTCAAAGACAGTGTGAAATCGGATGCCAGGGGTGCGGGCGCGGCCCCATCGCGCCCCTGGGTGAAGATGTCAGTCCGCCCGAGGGGGTGCTCCCAGGTTCGGGCGACCCCCGGGAAGGCCTGGCTGGGTCGCAGGGAGAAGCAGCGGGGGCCCGGGCCAGACATTGGCCTGCTGCCCGTCGTTCCTCCCCGCGCCCGCGCCCTTGGAGGGACAGACGCGCTGCCGGTTGCTCCCGTTCGCGCAGGCAGCTCGATCAGGGCAGTAGGCGGCCAATTGCGGTGGCCTAGGGTACGAAGGGAGCCCCTGCCTGCGCGCGGGGCTCTTGGACGCACCCGGGCCGCGCTCCCTCCATTCCAGCGCCTGCGGCGGGACCGGGCTCAGCGCGCATCTGTCCTCCCCGCGCCTGCCCGCTTGATCACCGATGGAGGCGGCCAGTTCCCGCGACCCTGGCCAAGGCTGGAGCCCCTCCGCCCGCGCCCGCGCCCCCGCCCCCGCCCCAGGGACCGACAGCGGCCCCCGCCGGGCTCCTATCCCGCTCGCCGCAAGGTCAGCGCTGGAGGTGGCCGGTCCCAGGGAGCCCCGCTGCCCACGCCCACGGGCCTCGGTGCCCCCCGACGCGCAGACTCACCACCTACCGCCTCGGAGCTCCGTTCTGGAACTGAGGTCCCTACTCGCCTTGACCTCAGCAAGGCGAGGCAGAGCCCGCATTTTCTAACCCGTGGCCCCTGGGGCGGGGCGAACAGGGTCCTGCTCGAAGTACAGTTTCAGCCTGCAGCCAAGAGGCGCCAGGGGTGGGGGTGGGGGGTTGTCTTGTAATTCTCCTAAAACTCGGGTCAGGATTCCCTGCCTTCTGTGAGGGGAGACTTTCTTGGGAGAGCTTGTTAAACATTTAGATTTCTGCGCCACATCTCGACACCCTGAGGCGTTGGCTCTATTTTGGGCTCCAATAAGGGCATTTTAGTAAGTATCCTGGGGATCTGACTGGTCCACTGTGGCTGCGAAATATGCATTTTTCGCTCTTTTGGAGTTTATGCCTTATGAGATCTGAGAAAACTCAAACTTAGAGAAATAGTGGATTAGACAGAATACTGTATGATCTCACATATTTGGAATCTAAAAAAGCCAAACTCACAGAAACAGATAGTACGGTGTTTGCCTGGGGCTGGGGTTGCGGGAAATGGGCAAATGTTGGTTAAAGTGTACAGACTTCTAGTTATAAGATGAATAAGTTCTGAGAATCTAATGTATGGCAGGGTGACTATAGTTAACAATCCTGTATTATATACTTGAAAGTTGCTGAGAGAGTAAATCTTAAATGTTCTCACCACAAAGCAAAAGGTAATTATGTAAGATGATAGAGGTGTTAACGAACAGTATTTTGACAATTATTTTGTAATACATATGTGTATCAAATCATCACATTGTACACCTTAAATGTACACAATGTTATGTGTCCATTAGATCTCAATAAAGCTGGGGGGAAAAGAGAGAATGAGGGAAGGAGAAAGAGAAAAGGAGGGAGAGAGAAAGAGAGAAATAAAATGAATCCTCTGGAGGGGGTCAAAATCTTAATCTTCTATTTCACACAAACTTGGCCATAAATGAGAGGCTTATGTTAAGTAGTATGGAACCTGGGGTAACCATGCTGCGGGAAAACTGCCTCTATGGTGTCTTCAGCAGCAGAAACAACAGAAAAACTGTTCCTGCTTCTGCCTCTCAGTCCTCCTCCCCCTCCTGTGGTTGAACCCAGCTCCTGTCCTCATCCCAAGCTTTGGATATGCATTTCTGGCCATTGCAATTTACTTTTGGTTATGAAGGCTAACAGGCTGTGTGTGGCTTCCGCTCTCTTTTTCCTCTATCATTTGGATCCACTATTGGTCTATGGACATAGTTCTCTCACTTTCAGGTTGGGATATGTCTTTTTACTTCTTTACAAAATATAACGCCTCTCTCATTGCCGTGGACTTTGGGGAGATGGAGGATTTTTTCCCCAGGAAAGATTACCAGCCTGGTATACATTGACCTTTTCTCCTCTCGTGTACCATATCCGAAATCAGGATTTGTTTTATGATTGATGATATTTTAGAGGAAATGTGGTGTAGAATTGTACAACTTGTTAATATTTGGTTTACACTATTATATGTAAAAATAATTGGCCAGATTTATAACATTCTATCTGTAATCTTTTTTGGTTTTGTCTGTTTCAAAGGTGGAGAAAATCAGAATTCTTTAGCAAAGCATTGATGTGATGATATAAAGGTTGGATTGGTAAAGGAGTTTAAAGGACAAAAACATTTCAACTGTATGCAACGCTGTTTTAAGTGGAGATAAACACTGGGTTTTGAAGTCACTTAAATTTATTTATTGTGCTGTCATTACTTTCAAATATGTAAAACAGAATGAATGTAAAATAATAGAAAATATATATATTGGTCTCTGCCTCCAGTTCCTGGCACCGAGCTCCTAAAACTCTTGTAATGTCCTAAGTGATAACAACACGAGCAGCATCTTTTGTTGTAATGTTTGATCTTCGACTCTGGTTCCTGACACAGGGCTCCTGAATCCCTCAGAATTTCCTGGGTGATAGGAGCATCTTTTGTTCTAATGAGGTGACTCATTAGAAGCTTGGGATGTTCAGCCTCACTCCCTCATCCTCTGGGAAGGAGAGAGGGGACAAGAAGCCTCCATAAAAATCCCAAAGGTATGGGGTTCTGAGAGCTTCCTGGTTGGTGAACACATGGAGGTGCTGGGAGAGTGATGCGCCCGAGAGGACCAGGAAGCTCTGTGCTCTTCCCCCAGAACCTGCCTTATGTAGCTCTTCATCTGGCTGTTCATTTGTATCCTTTGTTATATCTTTTATAATAAACTGGTAAACATAAGTGTTTCCCTGAGGTCTGTGAGCCATTCTAGCAAATTATCAAACCGAAGGAGGCAGTTGTGGGAACCCCAACTGTGACCCAGAGGTCAGAAATACAGCTGACAACCTGGGACTTGGGCCTGGTGTCTGAAATGGGGGCAGTCTGGTAGGACTGAGCCCTTAACTTGTGAGATCTGACGCTGTCTCCAGACAGACAGTGTCAGAATTTAATTGAATTATAGGGCTCCCAGGTGGTGTTGAAAAGTATTGCTTGGTGTGGAAAAAAAACCCTGACACATTTGGTGACCAGTAGTGTCAGAAATGAAATGTTCTGTGTGGGTAGTAAAGGGGAAACATACAAGAGGGAGTGTGTTTTCCCTACACACTGAACAGTAACCCAGCAAACCATTTTTGGCTTATCTCAGTTTCAAGATGAAGACTCCACAAGCAGCAAACATAGATTTTTTTTAATTGAAAGTGCAGAATACAATAAAATAAAGGAAATAAATCCATGAAAAGGTGGTAAACACACTGGAGAATAAGAGACAAGATGCGAGAAAAAGCAACTACTACATTAGGGCATTAGGAAAGAGATAGGAATTAAAGGGAAAGATGAAATAGTCATAGGGAGGATTTTAAATTCTTGTTAATTGTATACAAGTTAGAAC